AGCCTGCAGGGGATCTCAGCAGGAGACGTTGCAGTCTGAGGTTGTAGTAAATGAAGGGAAAGCTGTCTTCTTCCTGAAATGAACCGAAGGCAGCTGCCCTTGATCCCCTCGGACTGTCCCCAATCCCGATCCAGGCCAAAATCTCCACAACTCAGGGGCCATGGGGTCCCTGCCCTGGACAACGGTGATGAGAGGTGGCCTTGGTCGCCCCAAGGCCATCCTGAGAGGTGAAACAGGTGGTGAGGATACGGCATTTCCTGTGAAGGAGATGGAGGCAGCGTGTGTCCGCCGGGACCTCAGAGGCACGTGATGCTCTGAGATGTGCGGCCCCTGAAGCTCGGCCTCTGAAACTGCTTTTTAAGGGGCGAACTGGGGCCACTTCAGCCCGTGCACGGCTGGAGGACTTTCTGATGAAGAGGCTCCTCCCCGCTCCCCCGGAAGAGGCCACCCCTCTAGAGGCTCTGCGAGCCCCCAGCAGAGAGGCCACTGGCCCTGGGCTGGGGCCTGCTCAGTATCCCCTTTCCTGGCTGACCTGGGCAGGTCAACGAACTCCTTCTGGTCCCCCACCCCCCAGCTTCCGTATCTGAAAATGGGGCTCAACACCCCTACAAGACAAATGGCGTGTGGCTGGCCCATTTGGGGTGAAGAATGCTTCTGCCCTCCCTGTAAATCCTGGCAGGGCAGAACCCATACCGTGTTTATTTACCCAAATGTGAAATGACCTCAAGAATCACCAGCACTTGGGGATCAGGCACCAGGCTGAGTCCTGTACCAGGATCGGCCCGTTTACTTCTCAGGGTGATTACGACCCCTGCCTGGCATTTACGCGGGGACACCGAGGCACTGGCCAGTGGAGCGGCCTGCCTGAGGTCGCAGAGCCCACATGTGGCACAGGTGGGCCTTGAATCCGAGCCATCTGACTCCTGCCCCAAGAGATGAGCTGCTTCCAGCAACGCCAACAGAGATGATGACACTAAGATAATCCACTTAGGAAGGATGATGGCTTCATGACTGACAGGTGCCAGCCCTGCTGATGGGGCCGGTGACGGGTGTCTGGGACGCGGTCAGCACTCAGCCGTGGCTACATCCTTCTCTCTCCTGTCCCTGATCTGGTTCCCGTCTGTGTCTCCGTGTCCTGATCACCTGACACTGAGTTGATGCCTGCTAGCCGTCTGCAGGAGGGTGGGGGCAGTGCCCACGGCCTCCTCCGTGGGTTTCTGAGCATTCACTGAGCCCTGCCCCACACAGGACTCGGCTGGAGCACCGAGGAATCAACTCAGTCCACTGCTGGGTGTCCAGGCCCAGCCCTCCTCCCAGCCACTGGACCGGGCATCGGCAGCCCCCTTGGGCCTCCCCTCTGGGGTGCCTATGATAAGCCTCCTGCCTCAGTCTCCCCTGGAGTTGTCCAGAGCTGGATCTTGACTCCAGAGTCCTCCATCCCCAAATAAGGGCCAGATCGGGCATGTGAGGCCCCCAGAAGAGGGATGCACCTCATGATGGAGACTCCGGGAACCAAAGAAGACCCCCTTCCTCCCCGGCCCCTCTTGCAAGAGGAAAACCCCTGGTCCTACTTCCCGTGTGGGGAGAAGCTGGGCTGTGGGCCAGGAATGGAGGTGCCTCCAGGAGCTGGAGAAGCTGGGATCATTCATGTAGTACAAGACTGGGAAGGGGGAAGGGAGAGAGAGAGAGGCCATGGAGAGTTCTGGAGGTGAACGTCGAAAGAGAGAGAACGAGACAGACTGAGGGAGCAGCTGATGGGCTCTGTGCTTGAGGAGACGCGTCTCCGCGATGCCCCGGGGAAGCACTCACAACGGCTGGAACGTGGGTGTTTGGAAGACGCAGGTGACAATTCGGAGTAAAGCGGCACAGACTCGAGCTCTCGTTCCGGGAGAAACACTGATGACAGCACCCCGCCCCACTCTCCAGCCACCCCCGACCCCCAGGTTGACAGAAGCCGTGAGCACACCACAGCCCTTCCCTGCCTGGCCCCCCCACCGCTGCCGACAAGGAGAGGCTCGTTGACTTCGGCCAGCTCAGCCCCGCAGCACGGCTGCGCCCTCCTCCCGGCTGTATCCTCCCTGCCGGGATGGCTGCTCTCAACTTCGCCTTTGTTTGCCCCACTTGCATCTGCGTCCCCAGCTCCCGCATGGAGTCAGGGAGGGAAGGGGCTGTTTGGGGAACTTTAGACAAACCGAGACAGGTCCACACCGGGATGGGGCAGGGATTCCTGGCGGCCCAGAGTGCGGGGAGCCGCCGGCCAGAGGCAGGAGGGCAGGGGCTGGAGCCAGACTGCTCACCTGCCTGCCGCCCCCATCACGCGTTCACCCTGCTGACTGGGGACCTTGGGACTGGTGCCCGTGTTGTGGGCACTTAGCCCACGAGATCCTGGTGAGAAGGAAAGGAGGCGAACAGTGCTCAGAACACAGCAAGTCCTCAGTAGACATTGCTGGAGCCAAGGGCGCCCACTCCTTGAACCAAGGAGGCCCAGCAACACGAAAGTCTGCTCCGCTCTCCAAGCCCATCCCTTCTCCCCTCGGCTGGCAAACCACCAGCCCAAGCAGGAAGCCCCGGCCCAAGGTCACGCAGAGCATGGAGGGCAGAACGGGAGGCGGGCAGCACCCCGGGGACCCCCTATCCCCCATTATGCTTTGCAGGTTCCTGACACTTGTTCTCGAAGGAAGGCTCACGTAGTGATGGAAACTCTGTTCTGAGTCTGCCTATGTGACCCAGGAGGGCACACAGAGGCTGTGAGCTGCAAAACGGAACGTCTTCCCCTGCAGACAGCAGACCCTGTGGGCCGTGACCTCAGCCTCTCCTACAGTTGCCGTGAACTCAGACGTCACGGACCACCCCCCAAAGCTTGCACGCTCTTTCCCCTCCACGGCCGGTTGCTCCGAACCTTATCTGGATTGCATGGAACAGCGCCTGGCACACAGGAGGCATGTGATGTGTACCATCTGGGAAGGGGGAAACCTTGGAGACAAGCAAGGGTTAACAGCCAGGGAGAGACTGAGCACTGTTAGGACCAGATGCAGCAACTCAGAAATGGACCAACGCGGTCCCTTACGGTCCCTTATGCAGGGAAGCCATCCCGGGTTCTGCAGAGCGTGTGTGCGGGCTAAGTCACTTCAGTCGCGCCCGACCCTCTGCGACCCTGTGGACTGTAACCTGTCAGGGTCCTCTCTCTGTGGGACTCTCCAGGCAAGGATACTGGAGTGAGTTGCCTGCAGGCAGAATGGCCTCTCCCCAGAAGGACGGGCTCACATCGTGGTCTTGTCAAGTTCATGGGGAGGGATAGAGGGATGGGGCAGAAGTACCTTCGTCTACACAGTAGATTCTCAGCTCTCAGAACACTTGGCTCCTGGGAATGACATTTTCCAGTGTTTCTCAAACTCTCATGCCTACAGACATCACCTCCAGAGATTTCTGATCAGGAGGCTCTGGCTGAGACCCAGGCATTTATTTTGACAAACACCCCAGGTGGGTCTGCAGTGAGAGACCCACATTTCAGGAAACCCCACCTTTGGGGTTGAGCCAACAGCTGTTTCATGGTCTGTAGCTTTGGGTGGGCTTGTGCGTCCCCTCCCCGCTCCTCAAAGTGAAGAGCAGCCTCTTCTCCACCCATCACCTCCACATTACCATGAGCCTGGCTCGCGTACCCTGCCCAGAGGACCCACCCAGCCCACATTTGTCCAACTGAGCTGAGCAAGCCTGCATCTTTGTCTCCTGTGTGCCAGATGGGGCAATTACTCGATCAATAAGCACAAGCTGATTTAAGTGTATCTTATTAATTATTTAAGTCATCCATTATTGAAAAGGTCACAATCTGTTAGCTACTTAAACGATCATGAACTAACTGGGCTGCATCTCCGACAAAGAAGCGGCAACGGTTCACTGAGCACCTACTATGCGCCAAGCATTTTGTTTGATCCTCAGGACAACTCTGGGGTGGCGGGAGGTGGAGATGGGCAGTGTACGTCCTTATACTCTGCTCCTTCACAAGGATGGGCAGGTTAAGAGGGTGAAGGGGCTTGCCTAAAGTTACAGAGCTGGTAACTGGCAGACCTGGGGCTGGGTTGCCTGTCAAGCTCATGGACTTGGCAGGGATCACCGTGTTGTAGGTTTCTGCACCGGGATCTTCCAGGCTGACTCAGTCCTGTTATGTCCTGGGATGAGACATACCCCATGCCCTGTATGCCCATGGCTGCTGCTCTGCCCCTGCAGAGTACCCGAGCCCCACACCTGACCCTGAGCTTGAGCATCTCTGCCCAGCCTGGCTCCTCCAGGGGCCGGTGCCTGTCGTTGGTGCTGGCCAGCCGCACAGTGGGGTCCTGCTCCAAAATGCACACGTCCCCTCCCCTTTCCCTCCAGCCCTGCACTGCCCAGGGACCTCCAGCTTAGGTTATTCCCCATCCCCCACCAGACTGGAGACAAATAGATGTGAGAATTGCAGTGACTATGAACGCACTCCTGGGCAGGATAATGCGGGGTCTGCTGGGGTAGCCACCCTATAAGGCCAACCAAGATCCCACGTCCCTTGCCGACTTTCTTCCCTTCCCCTGAGCCATCACTGAGCAGCCTGATTGCATCACCCTCAGATGCCTTTCTGTGATTCAACATACATGCACGATGGAACACAGTAATATGCTTATTATCAAACTTGATGCTGGGAAAAAAATTTCTCCCTCAGCCCCTAGCAGATCAATTTGTGTCCTCTGACCAGACTGTGAAAACTTGGAAAGCCATCCAATTTTCCCTTTTGCCTTGGCAGCCAGGAAACTCGCAACTCCATTTCACGCTCAGCGCCAATAGCTCTCACACCAGAATCTGAGTAAGCTCCATTTCAACCTTTCCATATAGGCACATGTTATTACCAGAAGCCACTTCAAACTTTTCTTGGCGAATAAGCAAATAGTCCAGTAATCGACGAGCCAGACCCAGCAGCAATACGATTTGGCATTTTCCAAGCTTGTCAAAGACAAGTGATGGTGGCCACTCACCAGGCGGACGAGCTCTGGAAGGTCATCAGCGGCGGGCTGTGGCTGTCTCTCTGTAGCGTGTGTACGGCCTGGGGGGCTTGCGGCAGGGAGCCCGGGGGAGGCTGGGGCTGCAGGGCCGGCTGCCCTGGCCGGGGGGCCCGGGCAGGGTTCCCCCACCGCCGGGGGTCCTGTTTCATCCACCGTCCGTGGATGCCCCACCGCGCCAGGTAAACCTTGCAGATGTCGTAGTTCATCGCCGAGTAATACAAAAGATCCAGGACCAGCAGCATCAACACGAAGAAGCCGTAGATCCACACTCCCAGCAAGGCGGTGTAGTTGCTGTGGACAAACAGAGAGAGGCTGAGAGATGCCGGGACCTCCGCCCCCGGGGGGCTGCAGTTAAGCCGCGGAGTCCATTAGAAGACGTGGTATGGAGGCTGCTTTGGGGGTCTCAGAGAGGGTGGTGGGCCCCTCTGGGGGGACAAGGAATCTTGGCTCCCTCTTCTCATGCCCACCCCCACCACTGCCTCTCCTCCACCTGCCCTCTGGCTGCCTCCCAGATCCCACTGCCCTGGGCCCTGTCCCACCCAAGCACCCCCTCCAAGACTGCACATGCTTGGGTAGAAACCCCGGTGGGGGAGCCCCACACTGTTAGACCCTCTGGAAGGAATTCTCAGCTGGACATCTGGGGCTGTCATGGTGTGGGAGCCCCTACTTTCACCCTCCTTCTCTTACCCAATTTGGGTGCTATGCCCAGACTGGCCAGCTGTCTCCTGCAGGTGGCCCCCGCTTGCCCACCCTCCTAGCCCTTGCTGAAGCTGTTCCCACCACCTAGGAGGCTCTCAGCAGCCCCTCTCTCACCACCCCCTCCCTCTCCCTCCAGCCCTTCCCATCTTTCCGAGCCCAGGGCAAATGCAGGAAGTCCATTGTCTTAGGATGCACTGACCCAAGCTCCTGCCTCGAAGCATCTGCCTGGGGCCACCGAGCACCCTGTTCGCAGAAGTTCGTGGAATCCAGCCAGGCATCCCCACCCCGGGGCCAACTCCACCCCAGCCTGCTCCATTGCACCCCGCAACCCCCTCTCTCAGAAGCCCAGGAATCAGGGCGTGGGCTCAGCTGCCCTCCCCCCACCCCATGCAGCAGACACCGGCCCATCTGCCCCACCAGCCATGTGCCTTTCCAGCCCACCCTGCGGCCGCTCCCCAACTCAGTGCCCCCCATCAGGCACTCCAGACTGCACAGCCAGGAGTCTCAGGCCCCTGATATCAGTTCTCTTATTCTTCACCAGGCACTTCCGCGCTGAGGTCTAGTCTGTCCTCCAGAAGCAGAGATGATGGGGGCTCTGAGCCGTAGATGCCCCTCCGTGAAGGGGCGCTGGCTCCCTGCCACGGTGTCTCTACCCTCGAGGAGCTTGGGGACACTGGGCCCTCACAGGGGCTGTACCTTCTTCCCAGCCAACCCTCTCAATGCCCCCAGCCCCTTCCTCCCTGCTTGACTCCAACCATGGCCTCTTGGAGACTGCCTCCCCCAGGAAGCCTCCCGGATACACTGCTCCTTCTACCCAGCTGGGTCAGGCCTTCCCTCTGACCTGAGTGCCCTTCAGACCCTCGCCCACCACCCGGGGCCATGCTGGCCAGGTCCAAGTGTTTCCTCCCACCCAGGCTGGGGTCTGAGTCTCCCCCGGGTGCTCAGGTGGTGGGGAGGCTGCTTCCTGGCCTCACCATGGCAGCTGGGGTAGCTGAGCTCCAAACACTGCCCGCCCGGGACTGCGGCTGTTTAAAGGGACCGACTTATTAATCACTCAAATGCCTCCTCCATCTGCTGCCTGCTGCGGGCATCTGTGCAGGTGGGCGTGCGCAGGCGGGTGGCGGAGAGGAGGCTCTCCCAGGAGGCAGAGCCGGCGTCCAGCCCCGCTGCCCCACATTCCACGGGGAGAGACCCGCCCCGGCTCCCAGCAGACAGGCTCCCTGGGTGTCCTGAGTCCCCCACAGCAGGGCTCCCTAGATGCTGTCTGAAGCCGGGGAGCACGCTCCTGGAGCCCAGAGGCCCGGTTCTGGCCTCTTCTCGGCCTGGCTTTGCTGTGCGGCCTGGGAGGACACGGGTGTGTCTCTGGTTCTGGAGGAGGCGGAGTGGAGCTCCTCCCAGCCTCGGCTTCCAGATTCTGGATCTTTCCCTCTTGGTTCACCCGTGCTCAGCCTCGGCCTCTGCAGTGAGACGGGGGCTGCTCCCCTCCGAGTCCTTCAGCCCCTCCCCGGGCTGGGCCCCGCTGCTGACTTTCACTCACACACACATACACACGCATGTGCGCCCTCGGCCTGGAACGCCTTCCCTCCCCACACGTGGGCCGGGGGGCTCCTCAAGGGGAGGCGCTGCGTGTCCTGAGCACCGCGCGGGCAGCAGGCACGGGTAGGTGCCTGGGGCTTCCGGGCTGCTTGAGGAATGAGTAACCCCACAACTCTGCCTCAGAGCACCTTGCATCCCTCCCATGGCCCCACCTCCAGCCACCACCTCCCTGAGGCCTGCAGCTGTCCCAGGGGCTTGTTCTTGCTAAGGTGTGAATGGCTGAGCGGCAGTCTTCCCCACCACACCCCCAGCTGCCTGATTTCAAGGGGAAGCCAGCTCCGCCTGGAGACATGTGGATGTGAATTGCTGCCAGGAAGCAGGGGCTGGCAGTGTGGTCCGGCAAGCTGAGACAGGAGTCTGCGTGGACGTGGGGAGGAACTGGCTCCAGCCCCCGGCACCCACGCTTTCCCCAGCACCCCTCTGCACCGTCCCCTGGAGCCCCCACAGGGTTGCTCCAAGTGCCAGGCTCTTCTTGGGTGGTTCCCATGGCAGCAGCCGCGGGGGCTGGGGGAGGGGGGTGGGGAGGGACAGGTAGGGCCAGCTGTGGGCAGATGCTGCCCCACAGAGAGGAGTCCACGATGCCCGCATCTGCCTGGAACTTGCCCCCCACCTCCCTGTCTTCTTCCTGCAGCTATCACCTCCTCAGGAAGTCTTCCTTGATGCCCTGTGTTAAGTCCAATCCCTCTCCTTGGGCCCCCCCAGACCACTGGGTTTCCCAGAACACACTCTGCTGTCTTTGCCGTCTTGTAGGACCATTTGCATCTCGAGATCAGATCTCCTTGAGGCTAAGGCCAGGGTCTAACTTATCTCTGTGTGCCCAGCGCTCAGGCTGGGGCTGCTTCAGACATTCCTTACGCTAACACGTATTGAGTCCTCATAGCAAGCTGTGACAATGGCAGCCTTGATACTCATGAACCTCTTCACTAGATTTCACCTTCTCTATACATACTCTCTAGTGCGTGAATGCGTGCTAAGTTGCTTCACGCCTGTCGGTCTCTGAGACTCTACGGACTGTAGCCTGCCAGGCTCCCCTCTCCCTGGTATTCTCCAGGTTGCCACGCTCTCCTCCAGGGGATCTTCCCAATCCAGGGCTCGAACCCTTGTCTCCAGCATCTCCTGCACTGGCTAAGGCAGGTTCTTTGCTACTAGCACCACCTGGGAAGCCCATATTCTCTAGTAGTTAATAGTAATACTAGCAATCACCACGCCCTGTGTTTCTGAATCTTTGCAACAATACTGTGAGTTAGGAGTCAGTCTCCCCATTTTACAGATGAGGAAATGAGGCCCAGAGAGGCAAAGTCATCGCCAAAGCCTGCACAGCTGGGGAGGGGCCGTGCTGGGATTTAGACACAGGGCCATGTGACCTCAGAGTGTGTGGAATTGGGGGGAAATCCCAAGATCGAGTCTAAGACAGATGTCCAGGCAGGAATTCCCCACATCCGCTTGGCCCACGCGTCCTGGCTCATCCTCTACTGGGAACTGAGGACAGGGTCCAACCTCCCCCGCAAGAGCAGCCTGCATCTCAGCATGTCATCGCCATGGCAGCACAGGCGCTGCTGGGCTACGGGTCTCCGCAGCCAGCTCAGTCTAACTGGCCTGGGGCATTGGGGTGACAGCGTGGTTTCACGGCCCCCCTCCAGTTCAGAGAAAGGAGAGGGGCACGGGAAGGGGGTGCCACCTGTGCTGACTCCCTCTTACCTGCAAGGGAGGCCACCCTAGAGGTGGCAGCCAGCAGAGAAACCTGGGTCACGGACGCTGTCCCCAGGCAGCTCCCTGGCCTCTCCATGGTTGGCTGGCTGTGAGCATTCTGTTTTTTTTAAATTTAATTTAAAATGCGATCTGGAAATTAATTTCATCCAGATGCAGGGGCCTTTGTTGAGCATGTGTGTGTGTGTGTGTGTGTGTTATAAAGGTCAGAAGATAAAACAGAGGCTGTTTTATGAAGCAAGATAAGAAGCCAGCCAAAACCATAGATACCAATTTTTCAGTATCTTTCAGGATGTTTACTGACTCAAATTCTTTTGGTGCTTTTCAAGCAATAAACCAAGCCTTCTCTGATGGAGAAATCTCGCTGAATACCTTCCCGGACAGGAGCAGGTATGTCAGCCAGCTGAGGCCAGGTGGTGGTCCCACCACCACCCATGGGCAGTCCCGGGTGAGGATGGGGGAGGTATGTGCCTGAGGGCTTCGTGTCTGCATGGCTGGAGCACCTCTGGGTTTGCAGAAAGGAAAGCTTTTGGAGGAAAGAGGTTTCACTGCAGCCAAGGGAAAACTGACAACCCGTCACTTCCCATGGTGAGGCCTTGAGGACTCTGCTGTCTTCTGAGAATCCCCGTCCCAGGCTCCCTCCTCCAGCAGCCCATCTGCCTCGTGAAGGAATACCCATGCGCTGCACAAGGACTCCAGTCCATGACCGGCTGCCAGAGGGACGACCTCTGCCCTCAGAGAGCACTGATCACTGACCGCACATGCCCCGTCCCACCCCACGCCCTGAACAGATGCTGCTGTTGCTCGTTCAGGGCCCTGGGTGGTCACTGCTGCTAGCGCCCTGCCAAGAACCTGGCATGGGAGGGTGTGCACACACTCCTGAACACCAGGCCCACCGCCCGAGTGGCTAGAAGTGGCATCTCCCTGAGGTGGTGGGCTTGGCGAGGCTGCTTCCCTCGCTCTGCCTGCTTTTCTGCCAGGCAGCCAGAACCAAAACAGACCGTTTTGTTCCTCCAAAAAAACACAAGTAAATAAGTCATCAGAAGCACTCTCCTTTTGCCTGCCACCAGCCCCACCTCCTGGCTGATTCACTGGGTGGGGCAGGTGTCAGGTGGCCCTTGCATCTTCATAAAGCCCTAACGGGGGTCACAGCTGCACTGGTCCATCTAGATGGGTATTAACCTTCATCTGGCCTCTGGGCTGAGGTCTGGCACACTCCCCAGCATCAGACAAGCCCTGGTTTTCTAGAAGCACCCAGGGGTGGCAGAGCCCACTGGTGGAACAAGGGCCCTGGCATCTCTTGGCCTCAACTGTGGCTGCAACAGGTGACTTGACCAGCCTGGGCCCAGCCCCTTTTTCCTTCCTCTCAAAGTAGCTGTGAGGACTAACGAGACAATACAGGTGTCCTGCCCAGAGGGATCAGAGCCCCAAAGGGCAGGATGGTCCTAAAGGCGGACTTTACCTGGCTCCCCTCACATACCTGGAGCACTCAGGACCTCTCAGCCAGGCAGGCCTGGCCCACCCCGTTCACCACTGACCTATCCTCCCACTCCCACTGGCCCATCTTCCAGTTGTCCCCTCTCTGATACAAGCTCTGGCCGGACACAAGGCCCTGGTCCAGCTCCCTGGGCTCAGACCTTCTCCCCAAGGTCCCTCAGCTCAGACGGCTAAGCAGGAGTCCCGCCAAGGCCTCTTATCTGAGCTCTGATCAGCTGTCTACTGGGTGACCCCGGCCCCTTCCCTCTGTGGGGCCCCTTCCCTCTGTGGGGCCCCCGTCTTGTTCAGGTCACCATCATGGCTTCTGCAATGTCCTAGGTCCTTGTCCCTGCACCATCCATGAGTACAAACCCAACTTGAAGCCCTCAGGGCCCCGTGCTTCCCTCAAGAGGAAGCCCAAACACCAGCCCCTCTGCCCCAGCCCAGGGGCCCCCCGCCCACCATGCCAGCCCCTGCTGCTTCTCCGCACTCTTGGCCTGGCATTTCATACTCAGGCTGCAGGGAGCTCTGCCCAGAAATGCTCCTTCCTCTGGACTGTGTGACTCCCACCTCCTCCTACACTCTTGGATGCGGGAGACCAAGCACCACGCCTCCCTCGTGAGGCCCAGGAGAGCTGAACACCCTGGCTGAGGAGTGCAGCCCAGCGCTTCTGGGCTTCTCTCCACATCTGTGGGAAGGGAGGTGACAGGAAGCTCAGTGGAGTGACAAGGAGGCATTCCTCCAGAGCGGTGCTCTCACCCAGGAGAGTCCCGCCTCCTGTGCTCCGCATTATCAGGAGACGCGGTTGGGGATCACAGCCCATTAGTGGGGAGGGGGTGCTCCCCGCCTCAGTGAGTGGTGGCCAGTGTCTCACAATGCGCAGAGCGACCCCCAAAAGGAGGATGAGGCCCACGTGTCCACAGGGTCGTGGTGGGGGTCCCTGCTCTGGGGCTCGCCATCCACGGAAGTCTCGGATTTACTAAAGCAACTCTAGATCCAGGTCGGCTCTAGGCTCCACCCCCACTGGCTGCCTCAGTCAGGCAAGTTATCCAGCCTCTCCACGCCTCACCTTTCTGCACGTCAAGGGGAATAAGGGTGGACTTCCAGGTGACTTCAAAAGGTTGACAAAGAGCCGGCCCCATGCTGCCTGCTCCAAAAATGCTTGCTGAGGTTCCAGAATAAAAACCAAGCTAAACGTCCTCAATGTGGCCATGCTTCCCCAGGGAAGGGCTTTGTTTTGTGGTTCGACACTTTTATTATCCGCAGCCGGGACCCACCGTGCTGAGACGGTGGAGAATTCCGCGTGCATCCTGTGTGAACATGCAGACCACAGAAACCTGTGGGTTCAAAACGAGGATCCCAGACGCCAGTCGCCAGGGCCCTGGAGAAGTCTGGCCACCCTGCCAAGCCTCTGTCTTCTGTCTGGCTTTCAGCCTGCAACTACAACACACTTTGGGGTCCTAACCTCAGTCCTGGCACCGCCCTCCTGGCTTAGGAAATTAGTCTTTGGTCTTATAAAAAGCCTTGGGTCAAGTTCCAGGCTTGATTCCAGCCCTCGTGACAGAAGAGGCTTGCTGAACTACTTCACACAGAATTATTCTAAGGTCTGAGCAGATGGCAAGATATTCAAGGGAAGCACCCATGCATCTGAGGAAGGCAGGCTGGGGAGCTGGCCTTGGTGGGAGGAGGAGAGATTTAGATGATAGTCAAGGAATTTGCATCTCCTGCCTGATCAGAGGGAAGAGGCAGCTTTCCCCAAGCGAGCATGGCGTGGTAGCAAAACATCCAAGCCCCAACATCAAAGACTGAGGCTCAGAACTTCCCCACCACCGCCCCTCCCAGGGGTGATACTGATCCCCCAGTAGTCACTCAACAAACCCACTCTTTCCAAGTAGATTTTTTTTCTTACCATGAAAAAAATGTATCTACCCCAGGAGTCATTCTCAGCCTTACTGGGAAAATATCTGAAACATCCCCATTCAAGTCAGGAGGGAGATCAGACTGCCTGACAATGCTAAAGATGGTTTTAGAGGTACTAGCCAACATGATTGGACAAGAAAAAGGAGTGAGACACAAAAATTGGAAAGAAGGAGATGAAATCATTATTATTTGCAAACAGCATAATTGGACATGTAAGAGTCAACTGAAAAAGTATTACAAATAAAAGGAATTTCAGTAAGGAGGCTGAGTAAAAAAATTTATATTTAGAAATCATTAGGTTTTAGCATTTAAACAACAGTTGGTCAGAAGATTTAGTAGAAGAAAGTGAAAGTGACTCAGTTGTGTCCCACTCTTTGTGGCCCCATGGACTATGCAGTCCATAGAATTCTCCCAGCCAGAATACTGGAGTGGGTAGCTGTTCCCTTCTCCAGGGGGATTGAACTCAGTTCTCCTGCATTGCAGGTGGATTCTTTACCAGCTGAGCTACCAGTAGAAAAAAAGACCTCGTTATAAAATAGCAGCATGAAAAGAAATAAATACAAATAAATGAAAAGATATGTACAATATCTATATGAAGAAAACTCTAAAACACTATGAAAGAAAAACTGAACAAATGGAAAGGCACCCTGTATTCTTGGAAAGGGATATTCAACATCATGAAAAGTCCATTCTCCTTGAATTAATCTATAAATCCAACACAATCTCCATAAAAAAATACTAGCTAGATTTTTTTTTTGGCAGAGAGACTAGAAAAGCTAATTATAAAGTTTATATGACAAAAAATCTGGGGGAATAGACTAAGAAGACATTAAAACATATCACAAGCAACAGTAGTTAACACAGTGAGGTACTAGCAAACATAAACAGACCAATGAAAGCCGCCCTAATCTACCCACTCACATTTAGTATATTATAGTATACAGTAAGTTGGCATTTCACATCAGTGGGGAAAAGACGGACAATTCAGTAATTCCTGTTGGGATAACTGTCTACCCATTTAGGAAAAAAGTAAAGCGAGATTCCTAATAAACATCCACATGAACTACTTGCATGCACATTAAAAAAAAGAAATATTACAGCCAAATAAATTCCTGACAGATCAAAGATCTGAAGGCAAGAAAATAAACATACAAGAAGTAAAAGAACACATGGGGGGATTTTTTTTATGATCTCAGAGTAGGAAAAGCCTGTCTCAGTATGATATAAACCCCACCAGACATAAAAGACAAAAATATGGGTACAATTTGACTGTATAATAATTAAAAACTAAGCATGAAGAAAAAAGCAGCACAAACTCAAAGACACACTGAGGAAATATTTGAAATGCATCCCATTTCCTTCATATGTAAAGAGTTCCTATGATTAAACAGGAAAAAGGCCGAAAATTAAATAGGTAAAGGCAGAGGACATAAACAGCTAGTCACAATGGCTCTTTAAAATGTGAAATATGCTCATTCATAATAAGATAAATAAGTAGGTACTGTTTGGATACCACGTGACTTTACTTAGCATATTCTCACTGCTTTTCTACCAGCAAACTCCTCCTCTCTCTCTACACTCAGATCCCGTCCATCAGGGCCCTGGTCTCACGTGGTCTAATCACCTTAGGTAAAGGGGCTGCATGGGAATAATTTCTGAGTCAGGAACGTCAACCAATATTTGTTGAACGACTAATGAGTGAAAAAGGAACTTGGGTCTCATGGGTTCCAGCTCCAAGCACCGAAAGTCTTCCACGTTCCTGACCTCATTTCACTTTCCCATCAGCCCTGAATGGTAGGTATCGTGTCGTGTGCCCATTTCTCAGATGAGAAGGCTAAAGTCCAGAGGACAGAACAGCCCAGAAAACCTGTCACCTGAAGACTTGCATAAACTCCTTCCAGCCCACCCATCTTCACACTGATTGCTCGACAGCTGGCTGGGAGGCTGGGTGTTCTGGCAGCACCCTGGCCTGACTGGGGCCCCGCGTGGTACTTACTTGTGCATGTAGCCCTCGGAGCCGGCCGTGAGGTTCGCCTGCATCACCGCCTGGAACTCTGTCTCGTTGCAGCAGTATTTGAAAACCGTGTTGTTATGGTGACAGCAAAGGATGAACGTTTTGTTGTCCGAGAGCCGGGGGCAGTGGAAGCCGAAGTGGTAGCGGCCTTTGTGGTCCGTGTACGGCTCACAGACCCGGAAATGCGCGGGCAAGGCTGGAAAACAGAGTCACCGGGCTTGGTGGGGGTCCCTCAGAGGCCCAGCTGGCCCAAGACACCAGTCAGTCCGTGAGAATCGTGGGCAGAGCCTGGTTGGCCTATTTTAGGGTCTTGCTGCCTCTTCCCTTGCCAAGAGGCCTCTGTGGCCCAGTGTGAGCCTTGCCTCTTCCAGGAAGCCTGCTCCTGTCATCCCCTGGGCTACCATCCTGCTTATACTGTGTCAGTCAACCAGGAGCTCCCTGCAGGCAGGGCTGATCTTAGCCTCAAGGGGATCCTCTCCAAGGCTTTTGCATACAGCAGGAACCCAGTTAAGAAACAACACGAACTGAGCACCTACTATGTGCTTCACCGGTTCTATCGGATTTAATCCACTTGGCCATCTTAAGAGGCAGGTCTGGGATCCCACTTTACAGAGGTAGAAACCGAGGCTCAGAGGCCGACAGTGACCTGTCTGAGCCGGCGAGAGGTGGTAGAGGGGGAATCCAATCCAGGCCTGCCTGGATCCAAGGTCCAGGACCCTCTCCACTCCTCCGTCACTGGGCGGACTTGGTGGTGGGCTCGCCACCAAGTCCAGGCTGGCCTGGGTGGTGAGTTGACAGTGTGCAAGGACCAGGTCCTGCTCGTGGAGAAAACAGCATCCCCTTGTGTCGCAGTCTCCACTGAACTGACGCCCTAGAACCAGAAGCCCCCAGGGGGCTGCCTCAGGGGCCCCAGCTCTTATAATAAATAATTCAGCCCCCAGACCATTGAATTTAAACACAATTTCTACCTCTTCATCTTTCAACACATAAAAGACCATCAAAGACCCCATCAACAATCGGTGACAAAGCTTGCCTGGCCTCGGACCCTCATTCCCCTGACTCAAGGCCAGAGATGGGTGTTCAGCCACTGGTGACGCCGTCTAAGCCCAGGACACTATTTACTAGTCGTGCCGATGGTGATAAACAGGAGTGAAAGCCTGAACAAACATAACAGTGGAAAAAAACCTGGAGCCCGCTGTCTCCAGCTTAATTAGTATCTTCATAAAAGGGACTGCTGTATCTAATTTGTATCGCTCAAAAGGGGCTTCGTAGGCTGAATACATTTCTCCAACCACAAAGGCTCCGGTTCTGCAGAAGCGCCTCAGTTGTTGAAAGCTCTGTCTCTGCTGAGAGGTTATTAGACTCCAGCCCACACAGCTCCTAGTGCCCGGGGCTGGCGTGGGGATCCCGGCGGGGCGGTGCTGGCCGGTGGGTGGGCGGGTCTCATGTACTGGAGCGCCAAGGCTGGCTTGGGGGGCTTCGTGAAATCCCGGGCCCCTTCCTCAAAGTACAGCACCCTCCTCTGTGGGGATGGGCAGGGACACTGCAAGAGAAGTGTCCCAGCCTTTCAGGAGTCAGGGGAGCTCTCCAGAACCCCTTCTGAGCCTTAGAAAAAAAGAAGACCGTCTTAAGGACACAGAGGTCAGTAAGGAAGCCTTTGGTGAATTCATCATCTCACTTGATCTCGTGCATTCCCGGGTACAGAGGAGAAAACTGAGGCTGAGCGCATCGCTCTCGAGGTGTGGTCCCTGACCTGCCACGTCCTCGTCCCCCAGGGACTTGTTACAGACGCAGCGCCTCGAGGCCCGCGTTCTGAGACAGAGAGCGGGGGGTGGGGAGGAGGGAGGTGGAGGGAGTGACAGTCTGAGTCTTAGCAAGACCCGCAGGGGATGCAAAGAGACTTGGTTTGGGACCCACTGACCTGGAGCGACAACCCACCAGAGGCTGGAGGCGAGGGGCGGAGGCAGGAGGTGAATCCTAGCCACTGTTCTGGGCTGTGTTCCGGTCAATGAAAACGCCCCATCTTCTGGGGGAGACGGCTCACACTCAGCTTAGCTCACAGGGGCTGGGTGTGTCAGCAACTCCCGGTGGGGAGTCAGGAAGACCAGCTGGGGCCCTGAGGCTGGGCTGAGAGGCTGTGGTTGCAGGACCCGGGGAGGGAAGGGGCAGAGCTGGGAAGGGGCCTTTGAGCCGAGTTTTGGAGGAGCCGGAAGTGCCGCCATGGAGGTGGGGAGGGGATACGGACAGGTCCCCAGAGGCTCACCCTGGCCACCCCTGCTGCCGCCTGCTTTGACCATCTGACAGAGGCCAGAAGGCCACTGCTGCCTCCAGAGGAAGAATGTGAGGGAGCCCGAGGCGCCCTGGGCCCCAAGCTGGGACACTGGTCTGACCCCTGGAACGCGCAGGACCGCCTGAGCCATCAGGGCCTCTCTGCACCTCCTTGCCTCCGGTGATGGAAGACCAGCAGCCTCCCGGAGGCTGGGGGCCCCAAGGAGCACCCAGAAACAGCACACAGGGCCCGCTTAGAGTAGGGAGGGGGTGAGCAACAGAGTGGGCGATAAAGGACGGTGCTTCTGGCCTCAGGCACGGGCGCAGCAGGGCCCTGGGGCCCGAGGGTGGAGGGATGGTGGTAGGAGGCCTGCGCATCCTGAGTCACCAGGAAAACAGGCCCAAGCAGAGAGGGAACACCATGGGGACAGCCACTCTCTCGGGGACTGGGGTCTCAAGGTCCCCAAGAGGGGACCATGATTCCCCCTATTTGCAAAGTTCAGGGTATGCAGGGCCATCACTTAACAGCCAGGTGACTGCATTCTCTGACTACGTGGCCTGGGGCTGGTCTCTTTCCTGGCCTGAGCCTCAGTTTCCTCTGTAAATGGGTGAGGAGTCCCTCTCCTCCAGGGGACAAGAAGAGCTAACACTCAGGAAAGCCACCGCGGGGAAGGAGTTCTGTGCACGGTGGTCACCCCCAGACCCCGGGCCTTGGTCCAGCTTGGGCTCTGCCATCCCTGGGCCCTTCATGGCCTCCTTCTGAGCCACAATGGCCAGCAAAGGGGCAAGGGACCTGAGGCTGCAGGTTGGCATCCACAACCCTGTCAGAGCAAGAGGCAAGCAGGGATTAAGTGCACACATGCCTGAGAAAGAGAGACAGAGACAAGGACGGAGGGGGAGGGACAGGATGGGGGAGAGGCACACAGACAGAGGGAGAAACACAGAGCCAGCAGGCGCCTTCCTGAGAGCAGGGCCAGCCCTGACGGCAGGAGGCGGGTGCCCCTTCTCCAGGTGGCCAGCGTCCCCCTGCAGCAATCGAAGGGCACGGTTCATGTTCGTCTTGGTGAAGGGGCGCGTGAGAGCCCCCCTGCTGGGATCGGGGAGGGGCAGGCCTCCGGAGACTGGTCGGGTGCAGGGAGCCGGGGACCTGGCGTGATGCTGCCTGGGTTGGAAACCAGCCCCTACACCAGCTGTGCCGTCTCAGGCTGGCCAGTTCCCTCTCCAAGCCTCAGTCTCCTCCTCAGCGCAATGGGGCGACTACGACATTGCCTGACTGACTTGCCAGGCCTAGGAGAGAACTCACTGCGCATCAGGGCTTCTCCTAGGGCTCAGTGTCAGCCAGCGATCCCCCCACAGCATCCTCGAGAATCTTCCAGGGAGCGCCCTGAGACAGGCACACATGGGGCGCCACGAACGTTAGCTCCTTACGAGGGTGGCTCCCGTCAGCGCCCACAATTCTGGCTGGGCTAGCAGTGACCCTGGGGAGGACCGGCCTGACCCTGACCCTGCCGCCCACCTTCCGCCAAGCATCCCGGGGGTCCTACCTGCAGAAATCAGCAACGAGAGGACGGCGAGCACGTTCAGGGACTGCTGGCCACAACTGGTCATCGTTTGGCTTGCATCGACCCGTCGAGCGCCGCCTGTAGAAGGAGACGGGAGAGGCCAGCTGCAGCCCGTCCCGCCCGCGGGGTGGACCACTGGCTGTGCTGCCTGCGTCAGGGCCAGCAGGCGCGGGCAGAGGCGCGAGCGTGCCGGGAGCAGGGGCCAGGACGCGCACGGTGGCGATGCCGCCATCCAGCTTCCTTTCCGGGATGGATAGTTCCCCAACCAGTCAGCTGTTGCCTCCCTTTCTTTTCACGTCAAAATCAGACTTCATCAAAGGGGTGCGGATGGCTCAGGTGGTGGAGATAAGCAGCAGGCTGAGGGGGGTGGGCGTGGGAACGAGAATGGGGGTGAACGAGGGGACCAGGGGTGACCTCGTGCGCCTGCAAGGGGCTGGCAGGACCCAGGTCTCCCTGCTGTGTTCTACTGGGGACTTCCCTTCACAGCCCCTGCCCTGACCCTGTCAAGAAGGACAAATACCGAGGTCCCTAAAGGATGGAAGTTCATAGAGACAGGAGTAGGTTGGTGGGGTGGGGGTCTGGGGGAGGCGGAGAGACTGTTCCTTGGGAACAGAGCTCCCATTTGGGACGATGACAGAGTTCTGGAGGTGGGTGGTGGGGGTGGAGGAAGTGCTGCAGACCGAGGGAGCAGCAGGTGCAAAGGCCCTGAGGTGGGCGCCCCAGGGAGCACTGGAGGATGGGGAGGGGCGGGTACCTGCAAGCCCCCTAAGGCAGGGCCTTGGCCCTCCGTGGCTACTTTACATCAGACTGTTGAGGCCTCAGGATAAACCTGAGGGACAGGTTGCATGACTATCATCACCCCCATCGCTCCCCAGGGGTCTGAGAGCTCAAGCTGGGGAGGAGACCCTAGCGTCCCCTGTGTAGTCGGCGTGGACTGCTAAAGCCCCACCGGGGTGGTACCTGCATGTGGCTGGGGATGGGTTTGCTGAGCACCTACTATGTGCCAGGCTCTGGGCCAAGCGGGGTCCTGTGCGCCACCCTCTGCCCTCACAGCTCTCCCGATCAGGGAGCGCTCAGGGACCCAGCATGGGTCCAGGGCAGCTCTGAATCCTGAGTGGAGGCAGGAAGCTACCGGGGCGGGGGTGGGGGGGGCCAACCCAGAGGCTGGAAGTGTCGGACCAGGAGAGAGGGTCAGACTCTCCACCAAACACAGGGCGCTCCCGGGCAGGTCCCTGCCCCTGCTCTGAGGCCCCTCCTCGGGCATCTTATCTGCAGCCAGGGCAGGGAGGCACCAGCGGGTCAGGGCGGCTCTGAAGTGTGGTGAGCCAGAACAGGAAGAGGGTGGCAGGGCCGTGGGCCGGAGCCGGAACGCCTTAACAGGGTGCTTACTCACGGTGATGTCGGCGCCAGCCCCTGGGGAGGGCCCCCGCCCACCCCTCCACCCAGGCCTCTCTGCTCCCCCCAACCACGAGCAGCCTGGCCCCCACGGGCATCCAGCTTCTTAACTGCTCTGAGTCTGGGCCTCCTCCCTGCCTTCCTCAGGGCACTCCTGGGAGGATGGAGGAGATTAAAGCATTTGAAAATGCTTAGGAAAGGATTTCGTTCTGGGGAGACCTAAGGATCAGCCGTGGAAAAGGTCCTGTGAGGGGGTGGGGAGTGCCAAGTCCTGAGCCCCCATTCTGCAGAAGGGAAAGCTGAAGATTCCCTGAGAGCCAAGACGGGCCTCCAGACTCTGGGCTCCTGTAGGGTGGGGCCACCCACATTTTGAGCCGGGGCTGCAATCAGAGAGCTGGTGGGTTCACTGAACAAATGCTAGGGTGGGGGTCCACCTCCACCACGGGCCCAGCCCTCCCTCCTGCTGCTCCTTCTCCCTACAAAGCCCTGCGCCTATGGAGGGGGTCTGTCACTCACACCTGGGGTGCCCTCCTCTCTTTCCTGTGAGACCAAATCCTGCACGGCCTTAGAAGCTGGTCTAATGTCACCTCCTCCAGGAAGCCTGCCTCGATTCTGTCAGCTGGAAGCAGCTTGTCCCTCCATTGAGGCTTATCATATTCCATCTCATCTTTCATTAACGTGTTCATTCAATGATTCACTTATGTATTCTCTCGACATCCACTCACTGACTCCCCAACTCTGGGCCAAGGCCTGGGCTGGGTTCTAGGGACTCAGAGTGTGAAGGATGAGGGCGCCCACCAGCTCTACCTTATGGGACTGGTCCTCACGCCCTGTTCTATCAGACCGTGAAAGTCCTGGGTCAGGGCTTGGCATAGCCTGGGTGACAGCCCCCCGCCTGGCTGACTCTGGCTCTTGGCTTCTTGGGGGCACTGAAGCAACAGTGGCCTCAGGGCCCGCTGTGGGTGTGAGGGTCCCGCCCAGCACAGGTGTCCCCACCACGGGGATGCGCTGTGCCGGCCGCATCCATCCCACCGTCCAAAGGAGCAAGCCCACCTGTGATCTGCTCAGCCCCCTCCCCCATTCATGTCTCCAATTCCCCCCCACGTCCCCCAACGTGGCCGCCTAAGGATGAGTCAACGGGTGACGGACGCCACGGCCCTGCTGGTGGGACAAGGGTTGGGGTGGGGGCTGCCCACCTCCCCAACGCCTTAACAGGGTGCTTACTCACGGTGATGTTGGCGCCAGCCCCTGGGGAGGGCCCCCGCCCACCCCTCCACCCAGGCCTCTCTGCTCCCCCCAACCACGAGCAGCCCGGCCCCCACGGGCATCCAGCTTCTTAACTGCTCTGAGTCTGGGCCTCCTCCCTGCCTTCCTCAGGGCACTCCTGGGAGGATGGAGGAGATTAAAGCATTTGAAAATGCTTAGGAAAGGATTTCGTTCTGGGGAGACCTAAGGATCAGCCGTGGAAAAGGTCCTGTGAGGGGATGGGGAGTGCCAAGTCCTGAGCCCCCATTCTGCAGAAGGGAAAGCTGAAGATTCCCTGAGAGCCAAGACGGGCCTCCAGACTCTGGGCTCCTGTAGGGTGGGGCCACCCACATTTTGAGCCGGGGCTGCAATCAGAGAGCTGGTGGGTTCACTGAACAAATGCTAGGGTGGGGGTCCACCTCCACCACGGGCCCAGCCCTCCCTCCTGCTGCTCCTTCTCCCTACAAAGCCCTGCGCCTATGGAGGGGGTCTGTCACTCACACCCGGGGTGCCCTCCTCTCTTTCCTGTGAGACCAAATCCTGCACGGCCTTAGAAGCTGGTATAATGTCACCTCCTCCAGGAAGCCTGCCTCGATTCTGTCAGCTGGAAGCAGCTTGTCCCTCCACTGAGGCTTATCATATTCCATCTCATCTTTCATTAACGTGTTCATTCAATGATTCACTTATGTATTCTCTCGACATCCACTCACTGACTCCCCAACTCTGGGCCAAGGCCTGGGCTGGGTTCTAGGGACTCAGAGTGTGAAGGATGAGGGCGCCCACCAGCTCTACCTTATGGGACTGGTCCTCACGCCCTGTTCTATCAGACCGTGAAAGTCCTGGGTCAGGGCTTGGCATAGCCTGGGTGACAGCCCCCCGCCTGGCTGACTCTGGCTCTTGGCTTCTTGGGGGCACTGAAGCAACAGTGGCCTCAGGGCCTGCTGTGGGTGTGAGGGTCCCGCCCAGCACAGGTGTCCCCACCACGGGGATGCACTGTGCCGGCCGCATCCATCCCACCGTCCAAAGGAGCAAGCCCACCTGTGATCTGCTCAGCCCCCTCCCCCATTCATGTCTCCAATTCCCCCCCACGTCCCCCAACGTGGCCGCCTAAGGATGAGTCAACGGGTGACGGACGCCACGGCCCTGCTGGTGGGACAAGGGTTGGGGTGGGGGCTGCCCACCTCCCCACGCCCACCTGCCCCCCAACCCTGGGCAGCTCAGGTGCCAGCACTAAAGGCTGAATTCGTGGTGGAAAGAAAACCCCGCAGAGAGTCACTGGGAACTTACATAAAAATTCCATTTGTCATGACCTGAGACAGCAAAGCTCGAAGCCAACCAGTGTCTCTGTTCCCGGCTGGGCCGGAACAGAGCGGCTTTGGAAACTCCATGGATGCCAGCCCCGTGGGGTTCCCACGAGAGGGCCAGCCCAGAGGGCAAGCCGTCTGCTCACCCACATTCACCTCAGCCCCTCCCTGGAGCCTGCAGAGGGGGATCTGGATGTGTCAGGCTGTCAGGTGCCAGCACGTGGGACCCACCCACTGGTGACATTTGGGGGCAGCCCCCAGCAGAGGCAGGAGTTGGGACTGACAGAGTGAGCAGCCCTGCTCCCACCCCGCAGGGCTGGCCCTGCTTCTGGGGCTGCGCCCTGGGGCTGGCTCAAACCAGCCGGCTTCTCCATGAAAGTATGCTGGCTTTTCACCACGTTTTCTCAAATGACCCCCGACAGCCTGATCAAGCAGCTATCAAACACCCATCTGGTAAAGGACACCAAGGCTCAGAGAGGTGAAGCGACTTGCCTGTGGTCACACAGCCGCCCTGCGGCTCCTCCAGGAAGCAAGCCCAGTCTGCAAGCAGGTGGTCCCTCCAGGCACTTAGGAGTTTCCAGGGCCTCTAGAGTCCCCCAAACCCCAGAAGGCACATCTACAGACACATTCAGTTTATCATGGTGGTTTAGTCGCTCAGTTGTGTCCGACTCTTGTGACCCCATGAACTGTAGCCTGCCAGGCTCCTCTGTCCATGGGATCTCCCAGGCAAGAATACTGGAGTGGGCTACCATTTTCTTCTCCAGGGGATCTTCCCGACCCAGGGATTGAACCCGGGTCTCCTGCACTGCAGGAGGATTCTTTACCAACTGAGCTACGAGAGAAGCACTAATTGATTGTCCCGGGTTCTATTCCTCTAAGAACCAGTAAACTGTCCACCGTGGGAGCTGATGGCCGATGGTAAAAGCTCCCACTGTGGGGAGAATGTTCTGGGTGAGCGGGACTCCCCGAGCGGACAGCCTCCAAAAGCATGCGTCAGGCGCGCATCCCCGCATCTGCCCCTCGGGTCAGCTGGGGACTGCTGTTCCCATATCCGAGGAGTATTTTTAAACACCGAATTTGGCAAGGCCTGAGAAGGAAGGAAGGAGGGCATGCGAAGAGAAACAGAGC